TATATATATATATATATATATATATATATATATATAATACGTGGAATATATAAACGTCACGTGGAAGGAATATTTCATTCGTATGATGTATAAGTTATATTATCGCGGAATACTTCGAATAGAGTGATATTGCGAGATATCTCGTCGTGTATTCCACTATTATATTACATTATAGCATAGGAACGTCTCGATCGCGGAATATCTCGTAACCATGGCGACGTGTATTATATCGTCAAGATCCCTTTGGAAATGATCCTAATTGAACAAAACATAAAAAAGAGAGAGAGAGAGAAAAAGAAACAAGCGTTTATTAAGCATTTAAAAATCTGTAAACGCATACGTCTTAATAAGGAGAAACGGCAACAGGACGAAAATCGGTCGAACAATGAGGGAGCTTGTTTATAATTAAATTTGATCGCGCGATAATCGGGTACATAAAAAATATTAACGAGCTCATTTTTCGTTCATTGCCACAAGACGAAAAGTACGCCGCTCGATCGNTATATATATATATATATCGAATTACACGAATCGATACTTTTTTTCAGCCGCAGAATTTGGTGATGATGGGCACTTTCCCGGAATGCGAGGTGAAGCTGTGCGACTTCGAGATCTCGAGAGTGATATTAGAGGGGACGGAGGTGAGAGAGATCCTCGGTACACCGGATTACGTGGGTAAGCACGCAGTTTTTCTCCAAACCGCTTCATTCCCCCAACGATGATGATCTTATCGATCGCGCCATCTCATGAGAAATATATATGAAGCCATCCCTCTCGTTCCCTCTCAATTTTCGATTATACGTATAAATAATAGTCGTTGTCGATATATCGGCGATGATGTATCGCTCGCATTACTTTTCGACCCGAGTTTACCGCGAACGGACAGGTAAACAGGCGTGTGTCGGCACTTTGCTCCCGGTTGTTGGTTAATTGCCAACCAATCGATATCTTTGCCTCCGTTAATTGACGATCTCTTGTTCGAGCGAGATCGCGAGCATAATCGATATTAATTGACACGTTAGCCTCATTACGCGATCGCGTCCACGAAACTGAATCGAGTTTTAATAAACCTAATTACGTGTTGGGCCGGCAGGAGGAAGAGAAATTTTTTCCATTCGATATTTTGTATTTTTGCTCGTTTCAAGTACACGTCTCGGGAATCGACTTTAATTGAAGTGACTCTTGAGGCGTTTTTAAGCAACTTTTTCCTTTACGAAAACTTTCGATTTGGTTTCGTTGACGAGTTATTATTAACGAAAAATATTGAGCCCTGTAGAGCTGTTATACGATTAGTGTTGGATATGTGCTGCTATCGAGCTCGAACAAGCCAAGAAACTTGAACACATCGAGTATGTAAAAATCTGTTGAATATTAAAATTATATCGAATTGCACTTTATATTTCAGCAAACGATGAATGAAAGTAATCAGCTTCGACACGCGTTACTTAGATCTGTTTGTTCAAACCTGCCAACAACGCGTACCCAACACTACCGTTGGTCACTGTTTTTAATAATCGTTGGATAAATCGAAAAGAAAAACGTCTCTGTAAAATATATGTGCGCGTCTATTGACTCGTAACTTCTCGTTCTCGACATCAAATTTTCCTCAAACGCAATATCTCTCGAGCGCAGAAACAGGCAGAATGTCCTATAAAGCTCGTTGAATGAAAGGCTCACGATCGTAGGTTGCATATTTAACGATATAATTGACGCGCCCCATTATCCTCGTTGATCGTATCGATTCGTCGAATAACAGAGCTAGCTCGTATCGTTGAATATCTTAATCGAGCTCAACGTTTCTCGAAATGAACGCGAGGACGGATAATCGTGATCGTGTCCCGATGCTTTATTCATGAGAGTGCTCGTCGAATTAATTCCCGCCACGAGAATTTTATTAACTTTACGCCTTGAGAAAACTCACTCACGGTGTGTAATAATCGCGATCCAACATTTTTAACAAACGTTTACGGCACGGTAAACTGTCACTTGGAGCGTGGAAGAAACGGCTTCCGTCTATCGGCACCAGTCGCCGCCTACGAGGCGGTCGATCGATTTCTTTTCTCAAATAAAAATATATGTGACGTTCGTTGGATGATATCACCGTTCACTTAACCATTTCTCGACGATGATTTTTTTTTTTTTTTTAAAATTCCAGCACCCGAAATTCTTCACTACGAACCGATCACTCTGGCCGCGGACATGTGGTACGTAAACACACGGATTATTAAATTTATATCCTATCGAATCGTTTATGGAATCGTTTGCAATTATTTTTCAAGGTCCGTGGGTGTAACGACGTACGTTCTCTTAACGGGATTCTCCCCTTTCGGCGGTGAAACCGATCAAGAAACGTTTCAGAACATATCCCTGGGCGAGGTAGACTTTCCCGAGGAATTGTTCGGCGACATATCGGCGCAGGCGAAAGATTTTGTCGCGAAGCTTTTGGTGCTGGACCCGAGGTAAATCCAATAAACGAACATGATTTGAAATCTAAAAGTTTTTACAAATCTTGCAAGGCTTGAAAGTTTTCGTTGTTTTATAAAAAAATACTAGAAAAAGTTCGAATGTTAAAGTGATAAAGAAACTTTCAAGTCTATCGAGCTTTCAAAAATTTTAGATTTTGAATTTTTTTGATGTTGAATTAGATATTGAATTAGGAAGAAGATGAAATTTTTTAATTATAAAAAATATAATATTTCTATCAAATCGACAATTTTGTTTGTCATTTAAATTACACATTGCTTAATTAACAAAAAACTAAACGCTATAAGAATAAGATTTCTTATACATATTGATCTTTACCAATTGTTGTAACAAAAGATCTCGTAGGTAATGCTGAGTTAAAGTTGCTAGAAATCTTCCTTCTAATTATCTTATGTATTATTAAAAACAAAGTGTTTCGAATTCCATCATTACTTACAAAAATCAATCATAATGATTTCAGTGCACGAATGACCGCGAAACAATGCCTGCGTCACGATTGGCTACGCGGCGCGCCTACACAAGCGTCGCCTCATCTCAGAAGATACCTGTCGAAATCGAGAGAAGTTCTTCTGGAACGAGTTGTCAGCCGAGAGAATCTAAGAAGAGCGGCGCTTTTGAGCCAGGCGAGCAGTCAAGCGAATCTATCGAGCGACGCCCAAGAATCGTCGAATCATTCCGATCAAAGCTTGCAAGATTGTTTGTTGAGTCAAAGCGAGATGTGCCTGAGTCATCGCCTCACCGGAAGCCGATCTAGTCTCGAGGGTAGCGGGGAAGATTTTCCGAGCCCAGCCGATTCTCGAACGAGTTTGAACTCATCCAGAACGAATCTGAGCTGCGCGAGTCAGAGTTGTTTGCTCAACAAGGAGCAAACCCAAGGGTTGCTCGATCGGGCGCAAAGTCGGTCGCAGGCAAACTTAAATCACAGTCTCAGCCGTGGACTTTTGTCCAGAATACGTAGCTTGAATCGAATCCAGTCCCAAGCGTGTTTGCTCAACGAAAACTCTTCGGCCCAAAATTCCTCGTTGCAACCTCGAATGATAATAAATCCCGTGATCAGCAAGTCACGCGAGAAACTGTATGGATTGAGATCGTTGTCGAAGTCTCAAGGAGTTTTGGATATATACAGAAGTCTCGAGTGCCTTAAACGAAGAAGGAAGAGCTACCAACGAGCCAAAACCGAGGATATATTGCCGATTTTTAAGAGGTTAGGTGCTGAAATAGATACGTCTAACGTAGGAGATCACCGATCTTATGACGATGTTTCTAGATTGATAGAAAGGAAGGAGCACGTTAACGACGAAAGAAAAGATGAGTCTAATACGATGAGGACAGATGGGGAAGTCGCGGATGAGGTTAACGATAGATCTAGATATACACAGGTGCGAGGAGAAGACGTAGAATCGAGGGACCGAGCATTCGAGTCGGAGGAGAATTTGGATTCGTTGAAATCGATCGAATCAGACACGTTGACCGAAGATTCGGACGAAACTCCGGTGAACCGCGACACCGAATCGAACCTCGTAGCCGGAAAACGACTCTGTCAGCGACAACACTCCGATGCTTCGAGTCACTCCAACAACTCTGGAACATCGGACGACAAAGAAGATCGATCGACCGAATCCGAAACCGAAGAGCCAAAGTATACCGTGGCCCAACTCGTGTCTGCCTTCAATAAGCATCAAGAAGTCGCCTCGAGGACGAGTTTAGAAGCAATTATGACTGAGAAGAGAGTGAACGAGGTCACTTTTCCGACCGGAACGAAAGCTTTGAGACTATTCATACCGGACATTAACATCAGTGAGAGCAAGATCGTGAGACGGAAAACGAGTTACAAGCCGCGAAAAAACTGGGAGGAATTGAGAAAAAAGAACGAAAAAGACGAGGGGATTTTGAAGAATTTTGTCGACTCGGGCAACGAAGATGAAGATGAAGATAACGTCATTAGTTTTGATTCCAAAAATGGCACGAGGAAATCTGATAGCGATACTATGGAAGAGCAAAAGAACAAAGGATCAGATGAATGCATATCATCCGAATGGTCGAGTCCATTGCCGTTAATAGAAATCAATGGAGATTCTATTTTTGCGGAAGCCACGGTTCAAGAAAATGTCGATACAACGATTGATGAGAAGTATAAACAGTGTGTGAAAGGAGCCAAATCGAATGTAATGGAAATAGTCAATGACAAGCTTCAAAAGACGCTAAATAATCCGGATCGTTCGGTAACTACTCGTCAAAAAGAAAGATTACCAAATTATATTTATCCCGAAATGACGTGCCATATTAAAAATAATTCTCAAGATTCAATTAAAAAGACAACTTTTGTAACAACGAACGTTAAAAATCCGAAGATACAAAATATAGATCGAACAAAGTCAACGTATAATACGGAAAATATTAATGTAAATTTAAAAGATATTTTACAACGGGTAGATAATTGTCAAAATAATCCGAAAGAGAATTTGGAAAATTTAAGAAAAAGAACATCAATTACGAAAATAATTTTAAACGATAATTTACCATTGAATGATAATCAGGAGAAGAACGAAGGAGAGAATCGGTCAAATAATCGAGCACAAAGTGAACCACCCTTGATTTTGAATCCCAAGGAAGAAGATCACAAAATGAAATTAATTGTATCACCTTCCTTTGCGAGATCTTCCTCGATGTCCAGTGAAAGCAGTTGTCCAACGCCCTCTAGTATACATTCCGATGCGAACGCCTCCTGGGAAGATGTTCAACGAAATACAGTGGGATCGAACATATCTTTGGAGAAAGAAGATTTTGGCAAAGTTCAACGAAGAACCGAGATTCAGAGAACTTCAAGCGAAGGAAAAAACAAACAATATGCGGAAGACAAAAGACTTTGGGGCAGAGTTTGCACCGGATCTTACAACAGAGCGATGGAGAAATTTAGCAAAAACAACGATGCGAATAAGAAGCCTGTCGGTCAGTTAAACGGATCGCAACAAAATGGAAAGATTAGAAGGAAAAGCAGTCCTGCCATGCCACAATATATTAATCCATAAATAGACTTTCCTTCCATGAAGACTGATTCCAGAATTTTTGGTCTTTTCCAATATTACAGTGATTCATATCGGAAATCGAATCGCTAAACTTCTTTTTACGCGAATTCTTTGACTAGGATCAACTTGCAATTTATCCTTGATAAATGTTCGTAACATAGTCATCTTTTAGTGGATCAAATTGGCAAATAAATAATCTGCAAACGTGTGTCATCAAATGCTTGAACGACAAACCTGTCATTAACATCCCATCTGGGCGTTGCGTGATCAAAGAAGGCGATCGAACGTGATTGATCGTCATAGCCTTATCCTTGACTTAATCTCCATATCGAGCGATCTTCGAGAACTACTTTTTTTTCCAAGTGCGTAGTATCGATGAACACGTGGATACATTATGTATATTTGAATAACCAAGAAAACGAAACTTTTAATTTTCGATTTTAATTAACCGAAAAATGGTATACCGATCGAATGACAGGAAGTATCGATTATGTCAATTTTCAATGTGAATTAATGGAAAGCTGAGCTTAACTGTATGTTATACAAAGAATGCGAATTTTGCATTCAAAAAAATTGCTCATTCATCAGAGATTATCTTTCTATGATACAATTTTGTTTCTATTAATTTTTTGGTATTTGTAGAAACTCATTTAAACTCATAAATACATTTTTAATTGGCATAACAAAAATGATAACATCATTATATCGTAGTAATAATTAGATTAATAAAAAGGTTCGATTTAGTATATCTCATTTAAATTTTAAATGATTCGTTCAATTTTGTATCGAAGATATCTCGACAATAAAAAGTTCTTATCGTTAAGAACCATGCATTGCATCGGTTTTGCATCTCCTTCAATTCATACGAATCAGTTCCTCTTCATTTTCATGAATTATCTATTATCCTATATTATTATTTTAAATTCTTCCAAAATGTGATAGGTAAAGAAAGAAATTTTAATTGGACAAAGATTTGGTAAAATTAAATCTTATTATAATATAAAAACAATTCGGCATTCATCGCACATATTATTAGCGATAATAATATTAATATACACAAAATAATTGCAGCATCTCTTTCTCGGTCACCAATATTCATTCCCATCGACTTTTTCTCACTCTCTTCCTTTCTCCTCCGGAAGCTTGTGTATCCTGAGTTTTTGATTGTTCCGTATTTGGCTTTGGAGGTACAGGAGGTGGTGGGGGCATTATCACTGAAGGTCGCGTAATAGTTTGTTCCCACGTATGATCTGATGATGCTCGGAACTGAAAATCAATTCTCACGTATCATTCGAAATTCTGTATTTTATATAAATGATCGTATTAAAATGAAATTTACTTGAGAATTGTATTGACTACGGAATGCAGCTTTCATGGCTGATAACCGATCACTACCTGGCCCGTGTCTTTCTAATTTTTTAACAACTTCACTTATATCCTTTGATCCTTGTGATGAGGAACTGCAACTCTAAATGATAATTTAATTAAATTTAAAAATGTTAAATACCATAAATAAATTTGAAAAAAAAATTTAAATAGATTTTAATAAATAAACACCGATGTAGAAGAAGCTTCGGGTCTTCCCCTAAATCCAAGTCCAGCTCCTCCAACATTCAAACTCTTTCCTTTTCCACCTTTAAATCTTGACTTGCGAAACCAAGCACTTTGCATTGCTAAATCCATAAGGCTCTTTGGTACTTCTTGATTCGCACCCTCCAAATTTCGGACTAAATGACCAGTAAATTCTTTGTCTTTTTCTGTTACAAGAGTATATGCTGTTCCTTTTTCACCTGCTCTACCTGTTCTACCTATTCTATGTGTATGAGTATCGATATCTCTAGCGACATCGTAATTAAGAACGGTTCTGATATGTGGAATGTCCAAACCTCGAGCTACATGAGATTGAAACAAGTTTTGAAATTAATTAATAAAATTAAATTTAAAGTAAGATAGTAAGATAAGTATAATTACCGGCAACATCAGTAGCAACTAATGTACTGACTTCTTTTTTTTTAAAAGCCGTTATTACTTTGTTTCTTTCAATTTGATCCATATCACCGTGCAAAAGTAAAACATCAAATTCTTTTAATTTAAGATTATTTGCAAGTTCTTCAGCATTGAGCTATGATAAAAAAAGAAAGAACAATTAGAAAAATTGATTGATTATTGTTTTCATCTAATAAGCTATATCACAGGTTGCTGACCTTTTTAGTTACGAAAATTAATAAACTACCAGCGCTTAAAAATTCAATCAGATTTTGCAATAACCATGTCCATTTACCGGTTGGATTATTATTGAACACTATCACGTGTTGTGTGACGTCGGCATTCGCTTCACCGACGTCCCCTTGGACTATCCTAACTGGATCCGTTAAAACGTCCCTAGCAAGCTTTTCTACCCTCTTTTTGAAAGTTGCACTGAACAACAACGTTTGCCTGTCTGGCCTTACATGGTTACATATAGAACGTACTTGCGGCTCTAGAATTAAACAGAGCGATAACAAAATAAAAGTATTATTAATAGAAACTTTCCTGACTGGAAGTTTCCCAACAACCGCGTAAAATCGATGAAGATAAAGATTTTCTCTCATATTATAATATCATTAAATTACAATACAATATATTTACCAAAACCCATATCGAACATTCTATCAGCTTCATCCAATACCAAAAATGTTACTCTGGTCAAATTTGTAGCCTTCATTTTAACTAAATCTATTATTCTACCCGGTGTTGCGACTACTATCTCTGCACCTCCTTCCAATGCTTTACTTTGCTCCCATTTGCTACCTCCACCGTAGCAACAGCATACTTGAACATTATACACTTTTCCAAATTTTCTTGCTTCTTGGTAAATCTGTAAGTAGAATATACTCCATGAATTTGTCTCTAAAAGATAATATTTATACGTTGTGATTACCTGTTGTGACAATTCTCTTGTAGGAGCAAGAATCAAACCGATAGGTCCGTCACCTTCCTTTAATTCTCTTTGATCCATAATATGAACCAACATTGGCCAAATAAAAGCTGCTGTTTTGCCACTACCAGTTTTTGCTATACCTATTATATCTCTGCCGCTCAATGCGGCAGGAACTGCTTGAGCTTGGATAGGAGTAGGTTGAGTATATTCGTTTTTTCTAATAGCTTTTATCAATGCATCATCAAAACCAAAATGACCGAAACTGGTGACCGGATTTGGCGGAGATGGACCAGATACTTTTATCCCTAAAGTTTTTCTTAAATCGTCAACCTGTTGCTTATTTAAATTAGCAATTTCATCATGAACGTTATAAAAGTTTTTCTCGAAAGATTCATATTGTATTTCGCTATGATCGATAGGTGGTAAAGGATCTATCTCCTTTTTTTTTGGAATCGCGATTGGATTCCCATCTTCGTCGTATTCGATTTCTTGATCAGATTCCTCTTGTTGCAAACCCGCAGTTGGATTTTCTTCCATATACCTAATCAATAATTGGTTATTTCTTTTCTCGAATTTTTTCTTATAATATTAAGAAAATTAATAGAACTCTTACCTGTAATAACTCTCTTCATCGTCCTCACCATCAATATCCGCTCTGAATCCCTTAGATTTCTCTTCTTTTCGTTCATCTTCAGCCAGTTGAGCTTCGTAATTATTTTTTTTAACTTCCGCATCTATACCAGCCATAAATGCATCTAGAGGATCTTCTTCACTATCGCTATCTTCCTTTGGTGTTGATTTTTTCATCCAATCATAAGTGGGAGATCCAGGCGCCGGAATATATTCCAAGGAGTATGGTGGAGGATCATCGTCATCCTCAAAATATCTAATTTTACCCGTTAGTTTTGCATTTGTCTTTGCATTTGATCTCTTCTAATTTCTTTATATTTATACTCACTCTTCCTCGGTTTTGCTACGTTTCTTTGGCATTCCCCAACATGCAGATAAAGCATTTTCAGTGATGGAATTCATAGTATGATAGCCTTGTTTGCTTAGAGCAGAATTTGGTGGAGGTGGTGGTACATTAGAACCACTTCTCTTTGTGCCAGTCATTTGAAAGCCGGCAAACCCAAAGCCTTTTGGCTTATTACCCCCTCCACGGTGATAACTCATATTTATTTTATTCTGTGCCAAAATGTGAGTATATTATCACTTGTGTACCCCAAATTTATTCTTATGCTAAAACAGCAAAGAACTCAAGCGAATCATATATTCACGAATCGTCTTTAATTATTCTACTTTTTAATGCAATCATCATTATTCCACAGTTTCTCTTCAATTCAAAGAAGCATATTTTATCACTTGCACGATTAAATATCAATAAAATACATTGTTAATAAACACATTTTGAATGAAGACACAAAATATATACATATATATATATATGACAAAAAGTCAATTGCACAGCCTATTATGTTTTATTTATATCAATTACAATAACAAATATGATGTGCAAAATGTAAAAATATATCGTATAATATCAACAAGATCGTTTCAAAGCTATTAAAAAATGCTTTCCAGTGAATTATTATATTTATTTTTTCTGTTTAAACGTAAAGAATGAGGTTAGAACACCTTCGTAACCTACTAATATATCGGAGAATGTTCAAATACATATATTTTATGTACAAACACTATTTCACTATTCGAATGATATTTTAGAGCGATTACTAAAAGCGAATCTACCTTACACAAATATCCTTCAAGAAGTTACTTTACATCTAACAAAATGCTCCAAATACTTCCAATATCGAACAAAAGTTTGTAGTATATATTACAACATAGACGGTGCTGCCCCCATATGGAGTTATTGCTATTTTGCATCATCTGAATGGTATAATTTTGAGAATTT